GTAAATGCGGAGGATGCCAAGGCAGCTTACCAGGCATTGATGGACTTCAAGGATGTGGTCAAGGCGTCCCAGCGCTGAGCCTTCTTTTGATCCTCTTGAACATGCGCGATACGCGTCGCATGATCTCATACACTTTCTAAGCGTATGCAGGCAGCTAACTTGTAAACAAATTTCACGGCCGCCGCTGCGATTTAATCAATCTGTGAGTTTCAGCGACTTCAGCGTTTATCGGACATCGCCAATTGTTCAGTCGGAAACTGCCCCGGCTTGCGAGTGATGCTTTGGTGTCTCGACGTGCCTTCTGCCGCTACGTTAGCCCGACATGCAGCAGGGGCTTTTGCGCAAGTGGTTGCAGTCTTAGCATCTTGTAACACTCCGAACCCGAGCCCCAAACCCAAGCCGCGACTATGAAAATCATTGGGTCCACACAGAGAGCATTTGCAATTGACCTGGGCAGGTTGAGAGGATGGAGTTCGAGGACACGCCCGCAGCCAGTGAGCATCAAGCTCCAGAGCTTTGTGCTGTTTGATGGTTGCTTACAGGCTTCAAAAAACCGAGGGCTTTGGGTGTTTGGTGTGTGCAAGGGGAATCAGTAAACTTTGCTGCCCCTGATGGCCTGCATTTCCCGGGACCAGGCTTTGAACGGTCACATAAGAAAGGGGCATACATAATTGCGAATACTCTTTTGGGGGGGTTCCTTATTCCACATAGAGTATACCATATTACCCATCCCTCAAGTGGCAAGCTCTGGATCCCTTGTGGATCAAACTTCACATCAGAGCGTCGACAACTAGGACTAGCAGACTAGCAGCCCGTGTCCGCGTAAGATGCAGACCCAGTATGGAGACCTTGGCGCCCTAACCCATAAACCCTAATCACCTAAACCCCTGTACCCTAAGCCCGAAAAGGCTGGAATCCCAGCTTCTCCAACCAGGGGCTGCAACTCGAAAGCTCAATTTAGCCCTGGAAACCCTAAGAAACTCGACCCTAAAGTGTCTCGCTCTGTGACAGTCCGCATTACCGATTGTATAAAAACTGACCCTAAACCTTCAAAACCCCTAAACCTTAAAATCCGCATGACCAATTGCATAAAAACTAGAGCCGAAACCCTCAAAGCCCATAAACCCTAAACCCCAAAGCAAAACAAAAGTAGACCCCAACTGCCTTGGAATGCTCCTCCTGTAAACCCGGAAACCGGCATGCTCTCAAGTGTCTAAGGCCCTAACAACCGAACCATCGAGCCCCTTAATATAGAAGCCTAGATAATACTAGTATGATTCCTTAGGGTTCCTTACTGTAACTATAGTATAAGGAGCCCAGTAATTGTTTTTCCTTATTGTGTAACATAGAGCATTTTGATAAAAAAAAAAAAAAACATGTGGGGATTGTTGAAATCGACACCTAGTATAGAAGCTTAAATAATCACTAATGTGATTTCTTAGGGTTCCTTATTGTAGCTATATGCTACTATAAAGGAGCCCCAAAACCCCATTCTGATTATCAAGGCCCCTGTATAACGCACGGAAGCCGTGGAGTCTTCAACCACAAGGGATCATCAACCCCTAAACAGCCCCAAAGACAGCGTGCAGAGGAGGAGGAGGTCGACTTCCCAATCAAGCACAACGACGAGGATTTGCCAGGGCTTCTTTAGGTGGTTCATCTGTCAGCAGCTTGCTCCACTACATGTGGCAGACCCAGCCTAGAGCCACTTAGACAGTCAGATGTCTCAAGCCAGCGCCGTTTGGGCTTTCAGGATTTACGCTACCCACAGCCCTAGACCCTAAAGGCTAAGCCCTGACAGCAGCAAGGGGCCTCTGAATCCATTGAAGGCAGACTAGGGATTACTCCTCGGATTGCGGTGAGAAGATGGTGTTGATGAGACTTCCGGGGTGGTCTGCAGGGTCTGCAGGAGTTGCTACTGTAGCACATCGTAAAAATCCTAAAAGCCTTAGCTCCTAAAGCCTAAAGCCTCGTGAAAGCCGAGGCCCAGAGCACCTTGGTTGTGCTTTCCTCCACAGAGCTCTGTCTGGGTCCCATTAGGCCTCAGTTGCCGATGGCGATGCCGATGCGTCTTCTGCAGCTCTTGCTCTGCGCCGGCCTTCTCGCGTCATGTGCGGAAGGACGGAGATCTGTGGCCTAGGGTTTTGGGGGAGGGTTGAACGTGGAGTTTAGGCTGCATACAATGCAACCCGCCTGGTCTTGGAGTAATCTCGTCCTTGCCTTACCATACCTGACCCCTCGCCCAGCTAAGAGACCTGTTGGTGCTTGGGGCGTGGGCTTTTGGACGGGGTGTGGTGCTGAGGGTATCGGTGGATCCCAGCTTTCGACATGAGTTCCCAGACAGACCTCGGACACCCGTCAGTGGTTCAGGGTAGGGTTTAAAACTGGGGTTCAGGTATGACACACAGCCCAAGATTAGGAGCAAGTGTTGGTGATTTTCCTCCGGAAGTGTTTATCAGAGTTTTTGAGTACAAGCTTTAGGGTTTTAAGATTTAGTCGGTTAAGAGTTTAGGCCTGAACAGCCGTTGTTCTATCTGACCGCCGTACGGCATCTTCAGATGGAGCTGATGCCTGGAATTTGTTTCCGCGATAGCAAAACAATCCGACATGCCAAGACCGTCAACTTAAAATCCGCAGCCGTCCTAAGCCCCGCACCCGAAGCCAGACCCTTCGAACCAAAACCTTAGTATAGAGGCCTTTGTAATTACCTATACTGCTTTTTTATTATAAATATACTATAACCTACCCCAAAATGCTATTCTAATTATTAAGGCCCCTACATAAGCCACTCAACATCCCAAAGCCTTCGGCAGGAGAAGGGCACACAGGGCTCCCGTTTGGCCGAGCAGTTCGTGAGAAGTACTTCCAGTTCGAGTGCCTCCAACTGAAACAGTCATTGAAATCTTGGTGTTCTTCTGATTGGCTCGTAGGACTTTAACTATTTTTGGGGGGGTTTCTATATGAACTATATGGAGTCGGCTGAAAGTTTAACTTTTAGGATGGGTTCAGAAGTCAGCCAAGAATTGTTCACCTTAAAGTTCCGGGTCCTCATGGCCTCGAGAGTCGCGGAGTTGCAGTGTTGTCAAGACCTTCAGGGCTCCCATTTAGCTTCAATGTTCTTGGGAATGTGAGAATAAAACTACACGGGATCAAGAAAACATCAACTGTACAAGTTTATGATTGCTGTAAGGTCGCTTAAGTCAGGGGGTTTTAGGGTTTCGGGTCTCAGTACAGTTCTTGGGCTTCCGTAATAAAGCTCTCAAAAGACCGGCGCAAGAAGAGATAAACAGATCTTTAGGGCACATCATACCCGAAGCAACTAATCATCTGAGCTCCAGACCCAAAAAGGCTCAAAGATACTTACCTCAGACCCCAACTCACACGAATCAAGAACCTTAGGCTGATATTCGGAGAAAAAGCCCTGCACGACGAACACAGGATATACAGCAGAATGCTGCAGAAAAGCATGCCCTTTAAGAGACAGCAGTAGAGAGCAGCAAGATGCAGGAAATGCTTATCATCAGATAAACTGTAGGCCAGGATTCCGGAACTTCAACCACGGCGGCTTCGGGGCAACCCCTATCCCAGTGCCCTGGTGGCCTCATCGGGCTTCGGATTTGTGGGATTAGGGTTTCGGGTTTAGGTTTTTGGGTTCAGGGTGTTTGGGGGGGAGAAGGGAGGGTTGGGGCTTTGCGGGTTTGTAGTGGCTGTCTGACCTGTGCGATGTTTATAAGCGCTGTCTATAGGGCTTGGGAATTCTGGGCCCTCGCGCAATTGGGGGGAGAAGCCGCTCGCAGAACTTCTGTTTGCCGGTCGAAGGGGGGTATCCAAATTTGGTTTTCCGTGAAGCCTCGACCCGCGAAGGGTAAGAGGCGAACCCTCCGAAACCCAAAGACCCAGATAGACCTCAAGCCATGCCTAAGCTAGGGGCCTTAATGGTTAGAATAGGGTTTGGGGGTGTATTATACTATAATTATGATAGGCAGCCCCCAAGACCCTATTCTAATTATTAAGGTCCCTACATTACACCCAGAGTGCTGACCCCTGGAAAGCACCACGAAACTCAAGAAGCCAAAGACTCCCCCAGCCATGGGAACATTTGTCTCTTGCAAACTTTAGCTGGATATGGGTGTCTCTCGGAAAAATGACTAAGTAACATCCGCTTCCTTCTGCTAAGAGTGATGCCATGTGTTGCTTTGGCCCCAAAAGGTGCGAAGAGCTCAGGAGGCTTTGATAACTACCGCCGAGGCCAGTGAAGCAGCCGAGCATTTCCGAAAGGTTGCGATGTTGACGGTGCTCAGCTGCCTTCATCATGTACGGGGCCGCGGGCTTGAGGGCAGATTTCGAGCCTCTCCTTTCGCAAGCGCGTGGCTAGATACTGGGCCCTGGCAGGCACAGCCGACGCGCTGGTTCGCAGGAGGCGTCTCCTCCTGGCCGTAGATCTTGAAGAGGAACCCTAAGGGCTCTCAAGACTCTTGTTTTAGTCAATGCTTTCGGGACGCAAGGGCCATGCTGCGCATCCTGCTGTTCGGCTCTCTTGAGCTATAGGGGAAAGGTTGAAGGATGTGACTTGTCGACCTTGTCTGAGGCAAGCTCTAGCTAGAAACATCTGGAAACTAGTACCAGCCAATAAGTTTTATTCATTGCAACACCCACATGATGTTTGCGACAACGGTGCTAAAGTCGCTGATGACGGGCATGATGTTGATCACTATGAAGGGGCATAGGCACGGGCCAGACAGGGACAGAGGAGGACAGCGAGACGATGAGGTTGTGGATGATGATGATGATGATGATGATGATGATGACGCTAATTTGGTGATGATGATGGTGATGATGATGATGATGATGACGAACATGATGAAGATGATGATAACGATGATGGTGATGATGATGGTGATGATGATGACGATGATGATGACGATGAGCATGTTGATGATGCTGATGATGATGATTATCATGACAATGACATTGTTGTTGTTGTTGTTGAGGATGAATTTGGTGATGATGGTGATGATGATGATGATGATGATGATGATGATGATGATGTTGATGATGACGATGGTGACGATGACGACGACGACGACGACGACGATGACGATGAGGATGATGATGACGATGAGGATGAGGATGATGATGATGATGATGATGATGTTGATGATGATGATGATGATGGTGATGGTGATGGTGATGGTGATGATGAGGAGGAGGAGGAGTGCCAGCAGATGCTTGGCCGGAGCATTCGGACCCTCAGAACTTCTTTCTCGCATTGACTGTGGCTATGTCACGGTTATGTCTGACAGCGAAACAGTCTCGTCGGACCTTCTGCTGAACCAATCGCACAAGTCTGTGCCGTAGAGGTTTCAATTTCGCTGTAAATATCCCGCAAGGTCCACGAACAGTTAGGACTCTCATCGGGTGCCCGCTCCAACTCGTCGGGAGGTAATGGCAGCTATCATGCAGCGCTCGCCACCGTCAGGCTCGGTGAGTCGGGTTCAGTATTACCCGATTACGAAGATGATGTTGGTGCTCGCATGAGGATGAGGATGTCACTAAGCCCAAAAACTCTAAAGCCCAGAATTCTAATTCTAACACCCTGAACCCCTAAACCCGAAAAGCCCGAAAGCCCCTAAACCCGAAAAGCCCGAAAGCCCCTATACTAAAAACCCTAAACCCTAAACCCAAATCCTCCGTTCTTCTCCCAAGTTTCAGCTCAACTTTTGAGTTCTTTCTCCCTGCCTCGATGAGGCTTCGAGCCCCGAGCCCTGGCCTCGCCATCCAGGTTTAGGGTTTAGGGTTTAGGGCAGGGGCCATGTAGTGCGTGGACCCTCGGGTTAGGGTTCAGATTTAGGGGTTCATAGGGTTTAGGGGTTTAGGAGTTTAGGGTTTAGGGGTTTAGGGGTTTAGGGATTAGAGGTTTAGAGGTTTAGGATTTAGGCGTTTAGGATTTAGGCGTTTAGGGTTTAGGGGTTTGGGTTTAGGGTTTAGGGTGTGGGGGTTTAGGCCTTCGGGTTTGCCTAAGGGCCATAAGGTTGACTCTAAGAGGATTTAGTTACTATCATTCAGACACCTAGACCCCTATGAGACCTGCATGATCCTCAGCAGTGTGGCTCCATCTCAGGAATTCTGCCGAAAAGAGTTTTCAGCGGATGCGGATGCCTATAATTCAGGTCGGAGTATTTCGCTGTGTTATAGTTACAGTTATTATAGTTCTAGTCCCTATTCAATTCTCAAGACGTAGTTGAAAGCCAAAGCCCTATCTTGATGAGTAAAGCCTTCATCTTCGGAAGGGGGGGGGAGGGGCAGTTTAGAACTGATAGCGTACGAAGCACCCTGCAACCTCAAGCCCCTAAACCCTAAACCCTAAACCGCATGGAGCGGTATGTGCACCTGGAATGTGACCTTTGCGGTGAGCGGCTCTACACTGACCTCTCTGACTTTCTTCAGCGCGAGGGCTCGCAACCTCATTTGGAGGCCGAGGTGCGCCTCGCTCTGCAGCCAGAACCGATATGTTGCCCATGTACATATGTGTCGAAGCATGTTACAGTACATATTTCTCATATATAGGATACTGATATTAGCATATATGCATATGCATCTGTTTACAGATATATATATATATATATGCTCACTCGTAGCCGGTCCCAGGAGGCCCGGCGAGAAATGGAGCATTGCAAGCTTTGAAACGTTTTCTTGTTTCTTCAGTTTCATCCAACAGTTGGAAATAGATTAGTGAACATCATGTGGAAAGATTCTCCGACTGATCTTTCTTGAAGACTTCCACAGCATCGGTTGAAGAAGATACAAGAGCAGTGATCGGTGCGTTCACCTGCATCATGACCGTCATATCCGTATTGCTGATAACAGACGAATTGAAAATCACACAGTCGCACACTAGGTCACTAGCAACAAGCATGTCTTGATTGTGCACCACGACCACCGCCGCCACCACTGCCATCACTACCAGATCATCTTCATTTTCTTTCTCGTTTGCAGATGCCTCGTGACATCCATCCATCACACACCATCACCATTGTCATTGTCTCCGTCATCGACAGCATCAGCATCACAATCGTCATCACCGTCATCATCACCATCATCATCGTCATCAGTATCTCGCCTGCCTTTGTATTTGAAAACGGACGGTGTTGCACGATGGCAGAGGTAAGGGGAAGCAACAGAAGCAACTGTCATAGCTGTCGGAGTCATCGTCGTCTTCGTCGTTGTCGCCTTTGCACAGCTTGCATAGTGAATAGAGACAATACCCACCAAGAAAACCTGAAACATGTTGATGATATTCCCGAAAGCAACGGCACGAGGTACACAAGCCAAGAGCCTGACAGTCTGAAGTCGCTGGTGGATGTTGAAGTGACGGGAAAAGGACGATCCTTCAACTGCAGCCGGAACTGCCACCACCCTCGCTGGCTCATCGATGCCGGAACAGGGGTGATCGACAGGAAAGGCTACAAATACGCACTTGCATGTGGAGAGACCTTCGTGCGTATAGTTGAGGCTCCGAAGGTGGCGACAGTCTTCACTGTTACCGCAACGCTCCTGAACACACCGAATGCAACCGTGCTCTTGATGCCTGCGAGCGGTGACCCGTTGCCATCAATCTTGGTGCCCAAGTTGCAACCCCAAGCGACTATACACCCTAAGCCCTTTAACCCTTAAACCCCGAAAGCTGTTCCTCCTAAACCCTAAACCCTAACCCCCCCCCCGGCCTCTCCTCCTCCCCTCCCCCCTCCTCAACCAAAAAAAAAAGGACACCTTGGATCCCTAAGACTAAGTCCCGGCAGGTAGAGGATCCTGACAAAACTACCTTGGGAGCTGTGCTGGCGCAGTGCGCCATCTCGCTGAAGCCGGAGGCTGTTCCGAAGTTCATCTTGGAAGATGGCTCTTTGCTTCAAAAGGAGAGCTTATAGGGCTTAGGATGGTTTAGGGTTTTAGGGTTTAGGGTTTAGGATGGTTCGGGGTTTAGGATTTTCGATTTTTGGGTCTAGGGTTCAGGGTTTAGGGGTTTGGGGAAGGACACCAACTGTGCCGTTACCTTTGTGTTCGCAGCCAGGGTCCACAAGTGGGTCTGGCAGAGAAGCATTCAGAGAGTAAGGTGCAGTTGATTCACCGTGAATGTGGTATTGCAGTGCCTGATCAGAGTATTATATTATCATTGCAAACTCATTATAAACCCTAAACCGGTCAAGTTGCGTCAGACCGACTGAAGTGCCCGTCGGGAGGAAGATTTTGACAAGACCATTGCAGAGACCTTTGGCCGTCAATGAGCGCGACTGTGGTCGAGAAGCACAGAAGCGACAGGCGAATTAAGCATCATCATGATATTCCGTTTGGGTATAGTTGAGGTGGAAATCTGCCCCGCGTCCGTATCCCAAGTGTTGCCAGAAGATCGGCTAGATCAGAGACTATCGATGACATGACGGCGACGTTTCCAAAGAAACTGCGCAGCTTGATGGCACCCATGGCCGATGAACAGGAGACGAAGAAGTATGACGCCTTCATGAACCGCTTCAAGGACTGCTCCTGTCAACAGGTTCAGATCCTAGGTAGTATTAGGGAGACCCCTGAAAGGGGACCCTTCTTAACCCTGCTTCTGGCTCTCTCAAACGGGACCTTATTGAGAGGGTCTATATCCTTAAGGGTTCCCCTATAACTCCCATCAGAAGAAGTGTCGAAGTAATATAGCGGTCTTAATAGTTAGAATGGGGTTTAGGGTATTTTATACTATAAGATTCCGTAACCCACAGCTCTGAACCCTGAGGTGCTGTAGCTGGCAGAGCAGCGTGGTGGCAGCGATGTGGAGCTGGACAGGCTGTTCCAGGAAGTCGCATCGCAGCATATGGGCAATGGGATTCGAAAGTTCCGCAAGCTCGATTCCCTCCTCCTGGAAGGGATTTTGTGCACCTGCTACGCGTTCTTCGGCAAGGACGGCGTTGCGGAATGCGCCTACAGCGTGCGCACAGATGTGAGCTTCGGTGGCATGTGGTGCAATAACTGTCACGTCGCCGAAATACACGACCTGAACAACGTCAGAGCGACGCACAGCTCAACAACCGGTACGCGAACCAGCGCGGTTGGGACAAGGAGCAACCCTAAACCCTAAGCCCTAAAAAAACCTAAGCCCTAACCCAAAGTAAACCCTAAGCCCTAAACAAATTTCTTTGACTCTGAGGCCGTGGAGCCTTTGAAAGACATGCGCCCGTGCTGGCAAGACAGACTGCTGGCGGCGGCGAAGGTGCTGGTGGCCCCGTTGGCCCCTACTTTGAGGTTCGTGGGTAGTTAGAAGTAGGGTTATAAGTAGGGTAACTATAATTACAACCCATATTAGGGGACTTATAACCCCACTTATAACTACCCATGAACCTCCAAGTATGGTTGTGGAGCCCCCGGCACACGAGCTGGGTACTCGACAAGGGTGCGCATGGCGAAAGTTTGACACCACTCGCTTCGGCCTGCCATCTTCAGTCCCAGAAGCGTCGCTCAAGGTTTTAGGCAGTTTTCGCAGATGTGCTCAGGGGTCCTTGCGAGGTTTTCTTACGAGTTCCTTCGAGTCCTTGCTTCTTAAATGATTCCCTGGAAGCTCTTTAAATTAAACTTCTTCTACCCCCTAAACAAAGCCATTTTCCAGTATTGCATGTATCCCGAAGGCCCATTCTAATTGTATTCATTTCGGCTTACGTTAGTGTTGTCTAGGCTTCCAGTTTTAGGGTTCGGTAGACACCAAAGTAGACACGATTTGTATTCTTGGCTGTCATCCTTGCCATTCCAGCGATTCAGTAATTACCAGGCCTTACAGCATCTTGCAGCTATCTTCCACAAGCAAAATAATTTCAGTTCTACAGCCACAAATCCCTTGCGAAGCCCGCAACCCTAAACCCCGAAAGCCCCAAAACCCTAACCCGAACCCTAAACCCCTGCAGCCCTAAACCCAGAATGCCCTGATTACGCAGGCCACGTCTCGCCTCGCTGATGGGAGCTAACGAATCCGATCTCGAGCCTGGGCTGGAAAGTCATTAGGGTTTTGATTTTAGCTGTAGGGTTTAGGGTTTCGCTTCCGGGCTTAGGGTTTAGTGTGGTTTGGGTTTAGGGTTTGGGTTCACGTGCAGGTTTTTAAAGGTTTTGGCTTAAGGGTTTTGTCATGGTGAGTTTGTCCAACTTGTCATCTCACCAGTATGCTTTGTCGTCGTAATCACTTGAGTCTTGTTTTGCTTTTGGACGATTATCGTCGTTCTGATGTGCCGGTGTATCAATTTAATCATGATGGTGCTTTTATGCGCGCAAATGGCATTGTTGCGGGTAGTGGCCATGGTGTGTGGTTATTGCTTGCTGTGTCCGCCAAGTATCACTGAGTGTTATGTTGGCGAGTTCCTATTTGCCTTGATGTCTTGTGTTATTGTTCTAATCGTTCTCCTTGTACTAGGTTGGTTTTTGCGTGTCTTTTCGTATTACTTGGGGTGCTTACTCTGATGACCGTGAACTTCATTCTCTTGTTGTTGTTGCTGCTGATGATGATGATGATGATGATGATGATGTTGATGTGCACGTGGATGGCTCCGCAACAGGTCATCATGACGAGATGAGAGACACGAAAATGATGGTCTTGTGCTGCTGACGGCGACGACGAAGAGAAGGATGGCAAGTGGAGATGCTATTCGTGCATTTTCGTATTTCAGACTCACATTGTAGTATATATAACTACAGTACTGCTAGTTTATGTTATAGTGTTGTGCCGATAAAATTCAATTAGAGGTGTGTGGTGAAAGATAGTGATGATGCTGCTGCACATGATGCGGACGAATCTCAACATGGCGAACCTGATGTTGATTCTGAGTTAGCGAAGGTAACGGTTAGATGATGATGATGGCGATGATGACTATTATGGTCAGAAGGTGATCTTGACGATGATGATGATAGCCATGATGACGACTGTCACGCTGGTTTTGGACGTGGAGGAGGAGGTGGAGTTCTACATTTGTTAGGGCCACTTCAAGTGAGTTATCACTCTACACTTTCGTCGCCAGGTCTTTCTGGATGATGCGCAGCTTGGTCGTGGTTAAGCATCTTGCGTTGGCAGTCTTTTGCTCTAATCCAAGAAGCCCTCCATGGGCCCATCTAATTTTGGGTTGAGGTTCCTGAAGCTCAAGCAGGCAAATCTTCGCAGTGCTAGCGGCTGAAACGAAAGCCGAAAGTGTGCGCGGTGTAGGCAACTCAACTGGATCACTTGGACGACCCTGTCAACGTGTACTATAGGGGCCTAAATAATTACCTATACTGTTTTGGGGCTTCCTTATTGTAAGTATAGTATATTGGGCCCCAAAACCCTATTCTACTATTATGGCCCATATATTACCTGAGAGCCCCGAAGCCCTGATGAATCGTACCCCTAAAGATCCCTTGCAGGAGCTTTGAGAGGAACTCTCAAGCCTTAAAGGGGCCTCTGAAATGTCCTCGTGAGGCTCTGGGTTCTGCCGTTTCCTGGAACTCCAATACCCCTTGATTAAGGAATATACCTTAAATTATAGTAGGATCCCTAATATGATTTAAGGTATATTCCTTAATTAAGGGGTTTTGGAGTCCCTGGGTTTCCTGGAACCTCGTAAGTGCCACCCATGTTCCTGCCCTGATCTCTATAGGATCTGTGTACACATGTATGCATGCATGTATGTAGTATGTTTTTGTTAAGTCATACCTAAACGTGTACACACCCCGTACATGCCTTGCCTGCGCTCTAAACTCTCAACCCTGAACCCTTCCACGGACGCATCAGAAGCGGAGGTTGGGCGCAGTGTAGAAGGATGGCCCCATCAACCCTACCCTAAGGGTCCATGTACTCCTATAGTATAGACATTGGCCTTAATGTAGTCCCTATATAGGTACTTTAAGGCCCATGTATATGCTATATGACTACATGGACCCTTAGGGCTAACATGCCGGTGAAGAACGCCCTGAATCATACATTGGTCGTTCAGCCCGATTACCAACCCCAATATAGGATTTACAACTCTATGACTATCCCTATCATGATCTCTATTATAATACCCTACTCTAAACCCTCTTCAATAATACTAGATACTACCTTGTTATATGCCGTCCAATAGCCCCCATTCTATACCCTTCTGTAAGTAACATCAACTTTATCTAAGCCTTATTATATATGTCATATACCTTGCTATAACCTTTTTCTATACCTTTTAAGCAATAATATTATATACCACCGCATTGTTAGTTATCTACTGTCCTATAGGCCCTTACTTATATCCTACTGTAAGTAGTGTCAACCTTATTCTAAGCCCTATTATTTATGTCGTATGCCCTCCTATAAGCTCTATTCTATACCCTACAGTACTGTAAACCTCTTAAACAATGATTTGCACCCCAAAGTCTTCTGAGCTCAGCGAGGTCTTCCGGCCTCAACGCCGTGCTGCGAAGCCTCCGCTGGCAGCCCAACGAGCTCCAGCTGCAGTTGTTTTGTGTTCGGGGTTTAGGGTCTACCTTAACCCCAAATAACCTACCATGAGTCCTACAAAGGTAGGTTTTTAGGGGTCTACGGTTTAGGGTCTAGGGTTTCGATTCGTTTTTGTTCCCTCTCGCATAGCTGAAATCTAAGGATCCAGGATCTAGAGCCTGGGGCTTTTCAGCTTCGGACCTGGGGTCTAGGGCTTAGGGCGTAGGGCTTAGGGTCTAGGGCTTCGGGTCCAGTCGGGTATCGGATTGGGTTTAGGGTTTGTCAGTCGTAGGTTCTGAGAGGCTTTGCCACTGGATTGCTACTAGGTGGACGGAAAGTGACGGGGTAGTTTGGGGTTCAAGGCTGCTGGGGATGTAGAGTAGGCCTTAGCCATAGAATTGGAGAATATGTATATGTATATATATATATATATTCTACATATATGTAAATATATGTGTGTGTACAATCGCATTCAAAAGCTTGACATATTAGCCGAAGAGCTTCTCGAGGCTGGTATTCCAGTCCAAGCAGGTTACTGACAATCTATCGCATTGCCGCTGCTCTAAGGACATTCTACTGCTGACAACAGCTGCTTATGCGGTGTTGCCGAACACGGCTCAGTGGCTGCAGCGGCGGTATGGCATTCGAACTCTGCATGTCGAAGTGCTCCTTGATCCGAGCTGAGCATTGGGACTGATATGTAGGGGCCTTCAGAATCAAAATACGGTGCTGGCCTAGTGTACTACAATATTGTATTTGGGAGGAACAAGGAACAATAATAACAGTAAGTATTGGGTCTTCCGTATTAACTTGTCATACAGCCAGGTATTGTTAGTTCTGGTATGTTTAGGTTACTTTGGGGGTGTGTTCCAAGGCTACTAGCAGTGCTGCTACGTGAGGTCTCCATGTTCGATCGGAGTGCTGGCAGACCACTGCTTGCAATTAGAAGCACAACACCCTAAGGGTCCATGTACTCATATAGCATATACATGGGCCTTAAAGTACCTATATAGGGACTACATTCAGGCCAATGTATATACTATATGAGTACATGGACCCTTAGGGACATGATATGACATGCCTCAGCCGCTTGAATGCCTCACGAGCTCTTGTCGCTGAGCTACATGCTGCCAACCACATGAACCCGCCTAGGCGTCAGAAGGACAGAAAGTCGACCCACACACACACACACACCTTCAACCCGAAACATTAAAACCCCACTGTAACCACTCACGAACGCGAGATCTCCTCGTTGAGATTTCTTTATAAGGGTGCCCGGATTGCTTCTTAGCCGCCACCGCCACCGCCAGCACTCAGCTGGAAGCAGCCCAAGTCTTACAATAGGGTTTGGGGTTTAGGGTTGCAAATCCTGATCCCCCAAACCCGAAACCCTGGAAGCCCTAAAAGCGCTCTCCGAGACAACGTAATATAGGGGCCTCAAATAATTACCTATATTATTTTGGGGATTCCGTAGTATGATTAGAGTATAATGGACACCAAAACTCTATCCTAATTATTTTGGTCCCTACATTACGCCCCAAACTGTGGCAAGGACAGTCCATAACCCTGAGCCCCCTCCGAGCCCCTAAACCCTACACTGAAACCCTATACCCCAAACCCATGAATCCTAAAAAGAGAACCTGGTTTAGGGTTTAGGCATACATCCTAGACTGCCATAAAAAACCCCAAAAGCCCCTAAACCCTAAACCCTAACCCTATCCCCCCTATTCCGGCCAACTTCAGGCACTTCCCGGCGACGGGCGGGGAGACCTTTTTGGATCCAGTGAGGGAGGCCCTGGAGAAGCTTGGAGGAGAGGCGGCCGGGGGTTAAGGAGATTTAGGGTTTAGGGTCTTCTTAGTTCCCCAATACGTAACTTTTAGACTTGTTGGGTCCTTACAATTTAGTAGTAATCTGAAAGTTTTACGGTTTAGGGATTTAGGGTTTAATTCGGGTGTAGGGGTTCAGGGTTCCGGGAATTATAACAGGGTTTCGGGAGTTAGGGTGCAGGGATTTGGGTTTAGGGATTTAAGGATTGTAGTTTTTTGGGGGGAGCGTGTTCGGTGGTTTTCGGGTGTTTTGCAAGGGTTTGGGGTTTCGGGATTCAGAAGTTTCCGGTTGGCTTGTGTAAGGGCCCTTAAGGGTTCTACGGACTTTTTGGATGGCAAATAATCACGTAACCAAAAAGTGCGAGTATCAGTGCCTTAATAACTATGATCCTATTCCTTCGGGCTCCCGATGCTAAGCACCAACATCGGGGAATTTGTTGCATCTACGGGCTCTTGGAAGGGTTCCCATACATGGGTTCTATGTTTTCTGATTTCAAGTTGTAGGGTTTGGGGATTTTTGCTTGAGGTTTAGGGTTTTGGGGCTTAGAGCCTAAATTGAACTGCCTACAATGGCCCTCCACTGCTTGGATACCTTTGTTGCAGGGTTATCGGTTCAGGGTTCAGGGCTTGTAGGGTTTATGCGAGAGCTGCTGCGGGAGCGCGCGTGCTTGAAATCGAACCCTGTGCCATCCTGTGCCACACCCAGAGAGCCCAATACCCTTTAATTAAGGAATATACCCTAAATCATAACAATAAGGCCCCCATTATTGAAGGTATATTCCTTATTTAAGGGGTATTGGGCTCTCTGGGCAAGGCGTCTCGCCTTCGGCTAGCCGTCTTTGATCATGCGGCCCGGCATCACTACGCCCTGGGAGGTCTCCTGTTGAGGCTGAAGGGAGATGTCCTGCGCTTTGCAACCGGAGGTCCCGTAGCGCCGTAACCCTAACCCCCGAAACCGCTACCTTAACCTACCATAACCCACTTTTTTGTAGGATTTATAGGGACCCTACAAAAAAGTAGGTTCTGGTAGGCTAAGGTAAACCTTATAAACCCTATAAACTCCCAGGTGTCCTCCTACCCGCCAGCCGTCCTTCCCGTGGAAGCCTTGGCCAAGCAAGTGAAGGCACAGGGCATCTTCGCTTCAGTCCCGACTTTGGGACCGTTCGCGTTCACATGTAATAAGGGTTGCATTGGGGTTTAGGGTTTAGGCTTTAGGGTTTAGGGAGTGGAAAGGCAGCAGCTCTTTGAGGTTTGTTTGATCTTGGGATTGCAGTTGTCCGCTAAACTATTCCCGATTTTTTCCGCAGGAGGCGGCGCCGAGTGCGCTCGTGCTGTTGGACGGAGCTCACGCTTTGGGGCAGGCGCCCGGGAGATCGTGGATACAATGCCTATAGTGTCCATTGTACTAGGACCCTCAAAATTGGCCAAACCAAGATAAAGAACTACAATGGAGACTATAGGAATACAAGACCGTCAGCAAAAGTCTTTGGAAGGTGCCTATTTCCATGACGGCCTTGGCCACAGCCGGCGTGGACTTCTACGCCTGAGTCTCAAAGCCATGCCTTGCGGCCAACAGTTTGTTCCATGTGAGCCTTTCCGATCAAGATATAGTTTGTCTCTCACAGTGCTTCCACTGTATTTGGAGCGCAACGAAGTGACGCTTCAACTAATTAGGGTTTAGGGGTTTGGGTTTAGGGTATGCAGCTCCGCTGCATAGACCTATATATATGGCATGACGTCGCTACCCAAAGCCATGTCCCCCAAACCCGCCTCAAAAACGCTATCTTACAGCACTTAAAAGACTTACAGCTGCGGTCTGATGTGCACACCGAAGGCCTGTGTTCCTTATCACGGCCCCTACATTAAACCCTGATGTAAAAGCATGGCAAACCCTCATGAGCTCCACTATAACACCTTTATGCTACAGCTTTATCTAGAGCTGAAGTCTCAGCTTCCGATCCTTCCCCACATCTGCGTATAAGTCAGAGCCAGGTCACAGATGGCCACAAGTGGCTCATGGCACCAAAGGGCAGCGGTGCTCTTTGGGCACGCCCCTCTGCGCAGCCCTTGCTGGAGCCCGCGATCATCTCCTCGGACAATGCGCCAGGCTTGGCGTTGGGCGGCTCCGATTTGTTGATTTTTCTGTCGATCAAGAGAAGGGAAGCGTAGCCAGATCGGCTTAAGGGAAGACCAGACATCCTTCACGTGGTGGCAGCACCTTCTTTGGGAGGCTTCTGGTATGTAACACTTAGAATCGGGTGGGGTTTCGGGGTAGACTACAACATTACTACAGCTATCGTCAATTATCGTCGTAGATAGTCACAGAATCATTATACAGAGAGGATAAGAGGAATTATTACCACAGGCCTTCGGTAATGTTGCTAGACTATGCTATTAATTTGCCACATCACTTCCAATGTGATGTTGCTGAGATGTTCGATGATGCACCTGGCCAGGTTGCGGCGCCTGTTCCAGGAAAAGTATACCAAACAAATGCAAAAAACACTGGAAGAGACCCTCTCCCACCTTCGTTGACCTACTTGGAGGTTCATGGGTAGTTATAAGTAGGGTTATAAGTAGGGTAACTATAATTATAACCCATATTAGGGGACTTATAACCCCACTTATAACTACCCATGAACCTCCAAGTAAGGGACGTCGTCAAGAGAACTACACACTGGAGGATCCTGGAGCCAGCCTTCTCACGAGCAGTAAGGTAGGGGCCGCGATAAGTAGGATAGGGTTTTGGTGGTTTCTTTTTGATAGTAGAATACACCCCAAAACCCAATTCTAATGATTGAGGCCCCTATATTACCATGGCCGTTCGGTCTGTAAGATACCTCGAGTCCAGCGCCCTTACGATTCATGCTCCCCAACACGCCTTGACCTTTTCTCCATGTCCTGTTGTTTGTGAGTCACTCCAACCCTAAGCCCTACACCCTAAACCTCCTGAGTATTATCTTAAGCCACCGCTTGCCAGGATCGAGCTTCCAGTCTCGGTTTGACTACATCGGAACGCGAGACTACACCCCCTGGTGTGCCATGGGATCGACGATGGACTTTCGTCGGGACGTGCTTGGGGGAGAAGACCGTTGCCCAGCAGCAAGAGTATAGAAGTCTAAATACCTTCTAATATCATGCCTTCGGGTTCCTTGTGTAGTTATACAAAATTTACCTCGAAACATATTATAATTTTCAGTGCTCTTAAATCTGCACATGTTATTGTGGGTGCACTGGGCGAAAAACTTACGTTTGAGGATGCTGCTCTGGATGAGAAGAATAGCAACGAGGACATAAGTAATCAATACATATATATATATATATACAGAGAGAGAGAGAGAGACCACGATGGTGATTGATCAGGATGATATGCCGAATCCTGGTGATTCCAGAAGGTTTTTTAGAATTTGCAACGCGGTGTGTGTCCGTGCTGTGACTGCTGCAGTCAGTGGTCTTTCTCATGGTCAGGTTGATTGAAACGTATTTGTGAAAGGTGGAGGGGTCTTGTCGTGGTGGGCCGTGGTCGTGGCGATGTGTTGATACGTAGCTGTCTTAGAGCAGGCGCCGATCGCTAAGTGGACTGCACAACGGCCACGTGGTTTAATGTGCCATTTCGCCTCGCAGCACGTGTGACACTGATGATGATGATCATCGCAGCACCAGTCATGGTTTGTCCCTTTCCGATTTTTGTACCCTACATCCTAAACCCTGAGCCCTAAACCCTAAACGGAGCTTGGAACGGCCAACTGAGGCATTCAAAGCTACGTCACAGGCCTAGCTCGTTGGGCTGGGAGGCACATGGCGGACCGCCTTGGCACCGAGACAGTGGCGCCAGACCTTTGGCAAGAATTGCAGGATATTGTAAGTTGAGGGTTTAGGGTTAGGTTTTAGAGCTTAGGGTTTAGGGGTTTAAGGTTTGGGGTTAGGGTTTAGAGCTTGGGCTTTAGGGGTTTAAGGGTTAAGACGTTTAGGTGTTTGGGGATTTAGGATTGCAGCCTTTGGGGTCTTGGTTCGCGGTTTCTGCTTTTGGTGAAAGGGAGAGAGTCTGGGGTCTTGGACTTGGGGTTTTGAGGCAGCTCTGCCCAGGCCTCGCCCCTTTCACAGACTATATTAACATTAATACCAACAGCCAACAATAACAATAATATTGATATGAGAAACGTATTAATGATAATGTATGAATATTAGTATGAGCCGAGGATTCAATGACCCCCGGCATGTTTGCCCTGCGGCTACCGCTGCCCGAGGCTGCTTGGTCGGGTCTCGGGTTGAGGTATCACATTCAGGGTTTAGGTTTTAGGTTCCCAGAGACTCCAAAACCCCTTAATTAAGGAATATACCTTAAATTATAATAGGATCCCTAATATGATTTAAGGTATATTCCGTAATTAACGGGTTTTGGAGTCTCTGGGTTTGCTATGTTCAGGGACGAGTAGGTTATGTTAAACGCTCAGGGGATCTGCCTGAAGATGTGGTGCTTCGGGTGCTTGCAAGTACTAGGATTGCTTAGATGAACCAAACTAGTCGGGAGCGGCTGGCTACCCCGATCAGAAGCCCTAGAGCCTTAAACTTTAAACCCTGAACCCCGATCCCGCAACGCTAGACTTCAGAGGGATTGAGCTTCATGTCAACAGACGAGCAACTGTCGCCTGGTACCATTGCGGTCCCCTTTTTTTGGTTTAGCCAGTTTAAAAATTTGAAAGGCAACTTCAGAAAGGAACTTCAGAAAGGAACTACAATGGAGACTGTATAGGTAAAACTGAATTAACCCCTGAGCCCTAGACTCTAAACCAGCACTCCAAAATCTAAAGCTTAAGCCCCAGGCTACGATATTTTAAGCCAAAGCATCCGAGCCCCAATCCCGGAACCCTAGACTCAGAGCCACAAGCCCAGAAACTTGAACTCCAAGCCCGAAATCCTAAACCCTGAACCCTAAACCCTTAACCCCAAACCCCAAAAAAACAATTCGCAGACTTCACGTAAAAAACTAAGCATCCCCAAATGCGATACCCTGAACTCTGGGCCTCGAACCCCCCTTCAAAAAATTACCCTCATGGTAGTATGAAACCCACTTCAAGAAATGACCGTCATAGTAGTCCTTATAGTATGACACCCACTTCAAGAAATGACCGCCATAGTAGCCCTTATAGTATGAAACCCACTTCGAGAAATGACCGTCATAGTAGTCCTTATAGTATGACACCCACTTCAAGAAATGACCGCCATAGTAGCCCTTATAGTATGA